TGATATAAGCATGGAACCGCTTTGGCTGAGAGTCGGAGACTTCCAGTATGGTTTCTTCTATATCTCTTTTACCTTGCCTTATAACAGCATGGCATTCATTACGCACTTGTTTATAGCGGGCAAATGCAGATTGCGTTCCGAGTGAACGGAACGCTTTCCACGCTCGGTTCCGCCTTCGTAGTAAGCCTTGAGCCACCGATCCAGGGTGGAAATAGCCGGGACGAGCCAGGGACAGTCATCGGTGTAAACTCCGCGACAAGTGCAGTAACGTAAGATTTCAACAAGTCCCATTTTTCTTCTACAGAGGCATCGGTGGACACATCCCATAGCAAAAGTAGAGCAGCTTGATGCATGCCGTCAAAGTCCGTACGCCAAAAATTTGGTCTTGGTGGTCTCCGGGGTCTAACTGTTGGCCGTGAAAGCAGATAGTACGTTGAAACAATGCAGTGATCACCAGTGGCCAGTAGATTCGAGATGGTGACATTCGAAATTTCCTCATGCTGGTTAGTTAAGATTAAATCCAAACACGACGACGAAGAAGCTAATATCCGCGTATGCGACAACACATGTTGCACAGGACCACTGCCGAGACAACATCAAGAAAAGCGTTGATAAGACAGTTTGCAGATGTGGATACTGGGGGAGTCAAAGACCAATTAACCGAGGGAAGATTAAAGTCGCCCAAGATACAAACATGAGATGATGGTGCATATTCAGCGAATGTGTCGAGCCAGGCCAGAGACTTAGTGCTGGGACTTCTGTACACAACACCCACCTTTACAAATGATTCGCAGGAACTAGAAACTGACACCCAAAGTTGTTCTATGAGGCCTTCACCTCCAAAACTTCGGATAACCTTGCTTTGGAGGTCTTGTCTCACGTACAAGGCGACCCCGCCATACGCGGATCCGGCTCTATCGGTACGGTAAACATTGTAGCCAGGGATGTGAACTTCAGCGTCACCAATATCAGGATGAAGCCAAGTTTCCGTGATTCCAAAGAAGAACGGCTTCTGGTTGTTAACCCAATAGGAGAGCTCGGCGAGCTTGGGAAGCAAGCTCCTGGCA